GTTTCTGGTCCCCACCTGTCGTTTTGCTCCTCAGCATGGCTTCCTAAAAACACTGCAGGATTTCTCAAACATACATGAATGAGTCAAAGCAAGGCTTTGGGCATTTTTTTTATGAGAGTATAACATTATAACATGATATAAAACTCAAAAAAGTTGATTTTACATGATATTGCCCCTTTAAGCAGCTTTCAGCAAAACCTTTCAGCAACACCTTGCATTTTTGCAGGAAATGCAATTTCTCAAATTTCACTTATTTCGTACTGCAGTCTGAGCTCATTCCAACTCGGGTCACCAATATTTGTGCTCGATAGGCTCCTTACTTTGATTTTGTCTGGATTATCAAAATGTCAAGAGTGAACGTTGCATCCAGACCGTTCTGAGGAGAGTTCCAGGTTGTTGTTTATGAGAAGTCTAAATCTCAATTCAGTGTCAGAAAATGTGTGTGTTCTCTGTTTTTACCTGAACGGCTTGCTACTCCGTTGGCCTTCTCGCTGTCCTCCACCTGGCATTTCTTTTTAGCGATCTTGTGTAGGATGGAYGCCTTCTCTCGAAATTTACCTAAAAAGGACAAAAAAAGAAGGAAGCCACAGTCATTAAATGGGGAGCAAAGCGTTGTCAAAGCTCCTTCGTCATCACCCTTTGACCCGTGATGGGTCACATTTCAGAAGCACAAAATAAACACAAACTCTGAGTCAGTATGACAGAGCAGATCATATACTGATGATCCTGCAATGTTCCAGTCGTTAGCAGAGGCAAAGATCTCCCATTTAGAGGTCAGATTCAGTTCTCGTCTTGTCTTCGTTCTCACTTTCACATCAGGAACACTTGAGATGTAAAACATCAGGTCATTAAAAATAATTTAAATACTCAAATAGGAAGCACGTACAAGTCCATCCTGGTAGCAATTGGATTCAAAATATGTTTTAAGTGAGAAAAACGCATTTGTGCTGACTCATGATACAAAGTTTCAGAGAAACATTGACRTGCCCACTATTATTTTGAAATTATTATTATTATTTTTCAACCAGTAGCATCAGCAGCCACTGTACCCACTTCATTTAAAAGCAATCTGTAAGATTTTTGTTATATAATTAAATGTAACGTGTGTTTGATCTGTCGCGTATTGATGTTTAAATCAATCCGTGAACGTCAGTCTTTGCATGTCTGGATTGTTTTTTTATTTAATTTTTTATTTTAGGAGAGCAAGGCTGATTTGTCAGTGTTTGACACGATGCTGAGTCAATATGTGCTCCACCCAGCTGTGTCGACGCCGGCTGTGACCTTCTGGCAAAATCATTAACCCTATAACCGACCGCACCAACCAACTGGTCGCCTCCTTCCTGCTTCCTTTTTCTCGTCAAGCATCGCTCCTCTGTTTCCTCGCTCATCCATCTTTCYCCCTTTTCACCACCTTGTCTTTTTTTAAATTGTTTAGCAACACTCARYCCCTCCCTGTCTCTTGCAAACAACAAGCACACGATTTTTCACAAGACAGCGTCGTGCGTTCGACTGCCTCTACGTCATTCTCAGGGAGCTGTTTGATGACGGGTGTGTGCTTGTGCAAATGTGTGGCTCTGCTAAGACAAACTGGATGGTGTTTGGTGCTTAGACACCTATTTAATGGTTAAAAACCTTCCACAGAGGTAACTATGAAAATAATGCCCAAATCCTCCATCACAAGTGGATTGGTCACCTGCACCTTTCTAACAGAGCAGCTGGACTTGTGGTCTGAAAGGAACAAAACTTCCCAAGATGTTCCCAGGCCAGCTAAGAGATGAAGGCTGTGTCCAAATTCAGGGGCTACGTACTTCAAAGGACCTGACCTACCTGGTCTATGCAGGCCAGGTCTTTTATCAACCGTGAAGACCAGAAGAAAAAGGCGGTACATTTGGAGGGTCTAGCCTTCGGCTTTGTTCCTGTCCTTAACCCAGCATATGTCCTGTCGACTAACAATCATGACTGTGCTAAACAGAAGAAATAAGGTCAAAATTGTAAAAATATAATAATATTATAAATTAGCTTAGAGGCAATACATGAAGAACTAAGGGACCTGCCGTTTGAGCTAGTCTTGGCCTTAAAATTTGGCCTTTGAAGGATGCAGCCCCTTAGACACATGTACAGCCTCTCCAGAGTGTCCTCCCAATTGGACATGTCCAGAAAAGAGGCTTCCAGGGGGCATCTTTACCAGATGTCTGAACCACCACATCTGGTTCCTTTTGGTGCGGAGGTGAAGCAGCTCTACTCTGAGTTTTTCCCAGACAACTGAATTTCTTTCCYCATCTCTTAAAGCCCTCAGCAAGTTCCATCTCAACCTGGGAAATCTGCTCTCATTGACGTAGTTGTGTGACGAATTTCATTTTGTCCTCAACTTTGTCGCCCACCCCTTCTTGGCGAACTTGTCGCTTCCCTTTGCCTTACCAAATTGTGGGAAATTTGTAGGTGTTTGTTTAAGCTGAAAAGTGCTCAGAGAGCCATGGCAGCCTTTTGCTTTAACTACTCCACTTCCAGAAGCCGGCTGTTGGACATAGATAGTTTTGAGGAGCAGAAAGTGTGTCCATCCATTCTTCCAGACACCTTTAAAGATAGTCCAATGGACAAAAACTCATGGATGGAGAGAGCACGGGCATTGTGTGGCACTCTATCTGTAACAGATTTATGGCCAAACGGTGAATATCATAGTGGAGACTTCAACGGGGAAAAAAAATCAGTTTTGTTACGTGTACTGTAGTGGGATGGGTTTCCCAGGATCTTGGCATCTTGCATACTAACAAATATGTCGAGCAACCACATGACCACGTGTCGACTGTTCGGCTTCGGATGGAGCATGCTGGACCTTTAAGAGAGAGTCAATGTATACTGAAAAGAAAACTCATTTCAAACGTCTGTACCCACTTTCTCGTTCTCTCAGTTACTACGCAGATATTTGTGACCTTAGGTGGGCGTGGACACGTAAACCACTTGGTAAACAGCGACCACCATTGAGTCTCCAATACTGCCAAAGCCCTACTAGCCTGGTAAAAACCAGACCCTTGTTCTTCACTTTGCTTCGTATGAGGGTCTGGACTCTTGGCTATAGATAAGCGACTCTTGGAGGCGTGGCCTCTGCTGAAGTGTCGGTGTGAAGGAGGCTAAGCTAAGACGCTAACCGGAAATCTCGTGTGCTGTAAACAACACAACTGAGAGGAGAAATATACCGAGCCGAACAAGACGACTGTAAATGAGACCTGCTGCTTTGTCAGACAAATTTAATTTAATTTGGAAACCTTATCAACAAGGACGGGCTTCATTTACTTCCTCGACTGTTATTGCTAAACTAACTAGCAGACACTGCGCAGAAAATCGACGTCGTTCAAAACTCCACCTTCTGTTTGCTGATTGGCCCAGGTAAAATAAACTACAAGCTGAGACTGCCCAGAAAATCAACGTTCTGTTCTCTGATTGGCCCAGATGAAAATCCTCCCGAAGAAATCCTTGTCTATGGGAGAAATCCCAGATAGAGCAGTGAAGGGAAACTAGAATTGAGCAGAAGTGCGTAGGAAGGCAAGGACCAGGCTAAAGCCCTACCAAACTGTCTGTTGACCTCACGCCCCATTCTTCTCTTAATTTTGAACAAATCCCCCAAGATATCAGCACCTTCCTTTCACCCGTCTCCAGCTGAGGACTACGACCACCTGAAGCTCACAGCACCATGACACCAACAGGATTTTGTAACTAACTGACTAAATTCATGTTATATATGTAAGTCCAGTCCTTTCCTGTTTCCCCGTGTCACATCGTCCCTTTGTTTCCCTCACAGATCTGCCTCGCACGTAAGCATCGGGGGTGGGGGAGCAGATGAGTCACTCCCAATTGCCAAATTCAGCAACGTACACCTCAGGTGTGTTCACCCGCTGCTGGTGTAAGTGAAACCTCGGAGTGAGCGCCGAGGCAGGGATGATGTATTTCTAAACAGCGCAGATGGGTTACAGGAACAAAGACACAAAAATAGCACAATGGGAAAAAATAAGAAGTGCTTTTATTTTTTGTTTATTTCTCTGAACTCTGCATTTATGTGTTTTACCAGCCGGTTTAATCAGTTTTATTACATTCACAGATGTAACACATAACTGTCGTTAGTAACACACAATAAATACGCACAAAATCTCCATGCAGAAAGAATCAAAAAGGCCAAAAATAAAAGTGAAAATGGGAATTAAAAATAAAGTAAAATGTTTGCCGTGATTTGCACTTATGTCAGTGAAATCTCAAAGAGGCTGTCAAACAGAAAAGAAAAAAAAAACTGTGTTGAGAACAAATGAGGGAGGAGGCAGACGGAGGTGTCGATTCGTAATGAGGATGGGGAAAAAATAGAAAAGAAGAAAGGATGACAGAAGCCGAATCGAGCGATGGAAGTAGTGAAAACTTTTTGGGCTTACCTTCCTCAGTCATTGAGTGATAATATTTTAGTTTCCCATAAGTCCCAAGCTCTACAACATCACAGCAAAAGACAAGGGTAAGGCAGCGGACACACAAAGGGGGAAAAAAGAGTGAACAGTGACAGAAGACAGGTCTGCCGCTTGTACGAACATCAAACTGAGCAAACGCTCACACAGAGGCACGAGGAGTGACATTCAGAAGAGTCATCACTGCATAAGTGCAAAACAAAGCAAATACATTAGAGCCTCACAGTAAATCTGCTGAACAGAGTACCAACGGGACACTTAAGGTAGAAGGTTTGCAAAAAAATTAAACAACTAAATGAATGGGAAAAAATCAAAAATATCTTAAAATAGCATGAGGTTGACAAAAAAACTGGGTCAGCATGCAACAAAAAGATGAGTCCTCCTCTCCTCTGTACGCCAACGTTTCCCATAAAGTGCACAATTTACAAGTTCTACTTTCAACAACACAGCYCCGACGATTAATCCGACTATCTCTTACTGAGGCAGTTTCTCAGTCAGCACATCTGCACCGGCCATGATGAATGAACCGGGAATTCAAATCTGAAGGCAACAGCTGAACGTCAAGCAGCAGAGAAGCAGACCTCTGCTTCCAGCGTTGCTCTTTTCCTTAGGAAAAGCATTTTAACAGCTTGGAGCTTTTCTGTTTCAAATATATTTATGTTCAAYTTTTCTCCCAGCAGCGGGTCCCTGTTTAAATAATTAAGCTGCTACAAATAAGATGAAACAACTGGCTGAACACATTTTTTGGTCTAAAACTGTACTTACCAGACAGGAACACTACAAAGTCTTAAAACATGAATTCCCAAACCAMTAACCAATGGATTGGTGATCCATTAAAAACAAAACAAACATTAAAATAACAAAATAGATCTTTTTTTTACTGTTTTCAATGTGCAAGCTCAAAGTTAGTATTTTGTTACCCTGTTCAACGATAAAATACACAGTTTTGGTTCTGATAATCAACTAACAGCTAATACTGGATCTAAATTTTTTGCTTAGCGGACTAGCTTTTTCATTAACTTTGAAAGACCGTCAGCAGACAAATTAGCTTCTGCTAAATTAAGTTTTGCCAACTTTAAATCCAGTAACAGCTAACTAACAAACTGTATGTTTCAGTCCCTCCAGTCTACAGCTAGAAGGAGACGAAGACAAGCCACAGTTGTCTTAGCGGTTAGCAATTAGCTGTTATTTGGCCACCATCTTGAAAGCAGCCATATTAGATATTAGAWATACAGTAAGTCTAAATTTTCCAATGGGAAAGTGGTCATGTAGCATATTAATAAAGACTAGCATTGTCTCAKAAAYGGATTGCCACAATCATATGTGCAGTATCTCTTGTGTTTCTTTAGTTAYCAAGARGGAAATTTAARAACTTTTGTTCATCACAGGTGTSTCAGTAGCTGTGTTTCCACTGCAAATGTGCGCAAAACTTTGYCAATATTCTGGTAATGTCGAAAAACACAGTTTTGYAACTGCGGTGTTTCCATTAAGTAAGAAATGCTRTTAAAGTCACKYGTGAATACRTTTGTTTTCGCGATAAGTCATTACAAACATGGTGGCAATRGATGTAAAYACATGCAAATTGCTATCACAAAAYTAGCGCTCATCATCAGCCACCAGAGGACACRTYGGCGTCTTATMGAGGCTTTCGAGCGACAAGCCYCTTATACTTGGGAACGGCTATGTGTGCGGCGTTTTTGGGAAATTGTAGTTGGTGATTTTGCTACATTATTTTACTACTTCTGTGATTTTACTACTACTTTTACTTCCTGTTATCTTCTCCTTCGTCGTCTTTTTCGCCAGTAAAAACATCCGGTTGTTGATCATGTGACTCCCGTGATGCGAAAAAAAGTGTTTCCATTGCAGTTTTGCGAAATACACCAATTTTGTTACGGATAACCACCTTATCCTAGCGCAAAACCATTTTGTCAAAAAAAGTATGTTTTTTCTGAATTTTCTAAATTCAAATTTGCGCATTTTCATGGTCATTGAAAACGCAGCTTGTGTTCATCACACTGAACGGCTGTGTCCAAAACGGCAGGCCGGGTCCTCCGAAGGTCGAATTCGTCGGCCGCATACGTCACAGCGCCGCAACGAAGG